TACAGCTTAGATATATGACAGCTAAGAAAATTGTCAAACATCACATAAGCTATCTTGTGTCTAGGTTACTGTATAAAAGGGATACCCATGAATAAGCAAAATGACTGAAAAGGTCAAACTTAAGCTTGCAAAATAAATTTTTACAACATTTATTAAACTTGTAAATAAAAGTGCATGTATAGCCAAACTTTTTTGGGGGAATTTGAATTTTGGATATCATAGAGAAGGGTTAAGTTCCCTGTCAGGTTTGTATTGCACATTCTCAAACAATTCATCCCCACACAGCTACATCCTCATGTATCACTTGCCCCTCCCTTTTAGATTGTAAGCCCTCATTACCTCCTTAACATCTTGTCTTGAATTGTATTGTGATTGTAATGTCTTCCTTATATTGTAAAGTGCTGCACAAACTGTTGGCGCTATATAAATCCTGTATAATAATAATAATAATATTGCTGTCCATATCACGGCTGCGGAGCTTCACTCTTTTTGTTTGTCTAATTGACCATTGAAATCAAAACTTAACAGTTGTCACCAGTCAGGAATAGAGGGAAAATTGTTCAATAAAAGCACTAGTTCAGATGGCAGCTGTTTAAGAGGGGATTTCTTTGTAGCTTTGGAGTGATTGTCTTTCACTTCCTGTTGTGTTTCTGGGAAAGAAACACAACAGGAAGTGAGAGACTATAAATTTAACAGCCTTTGAACGTGGGATGATTGTTGGCGCTCGGAGCCATGGAGCGAGTATCAGCAAAACAGCAAAAAACTGTGAGCCAAAAATCTGGGTCTGAACATGCAAATTGTGGCCTTCAGCGCCTAGTCAATGTTAGGGCAGAACGGAGAGTGGCAAGACTGGTACAAGACAACAGAAGGGCAACAGTGCAGTGTCAGGTTCCTCGCATCACCTTAAAACATCTCGTGGAGTCACGAGGCGGCCCAACAAAGTCATCTCGTGAAGTCATCTTGTGGCCCAACGAAGTACTGATGGGGTGGTCATAATAATCTGGCCAATCAGTGTATATACACAGTATATAAAATATAGTTTAATATAATATATATTCAAAATGTATTTCATGCTAGTCAGGGCAGAGGGGGCACATTTAAACCTTTATCTTTAAAAAAAATTAACTTCCAAACTCAGTGTCCCCCTTTGCTATTTAGGTAACAGCCAACATGCTTACTGTGTTGGACTAGTTAGCTTTGATGGGGAGGGTGCACATTTTTTCCCCTTAAAAAAAATTGTGCTGAATGTCTATGAACACTGTTTCAGCACTATGGAGAGCTCCTGCTGGCAAATTCACCTGCAGGCTTAAAAGCTACTTGACAGCTCACTATACTTCTGACATTCGATAGCTGTTCAGCGGCTCTTACATTCACTTGGTGCACATTCATCCTATTACAAATGGAGTGGATGTGACTGTGGCATACTAGGTGGATGCTGTTGAAAGTAATATGACAGAATAGTAGAAAAGGTTTCTCTAGGTGAATTTTACAGTAAATCCTTTAAAAATATGCCCCATTCTTTTTCCAATACGTTATTTATCATAATATATTTTTAATACAGTATTTAATTTTTACTTTTTTATGATATGTTTGAACACTTTTTATGGTGTTTATTTGTATATATTTTGAATAATTTATACAATATTGCATAATATAAAATAGTAGTTTTAATTCCTTTTTTAAATCTTATTTGTCAGTTATTGCAAATGTTGAAGAAACTGTTTAAAAAAAATGATGATGATATTTGCTACTTAAAAGGCAAAAAAACCATGAAGACCCGCAAGACACCTTCCTGTTTTTATAAAGTAAATTTAAAAAAATGTATTACTATTTTCTAAGAAAATGCATACAAATACTGAAGAATGTATCCAGTCTACTCCACTGACTCATAAGGGAATTGTTCTCCATTTACAGCTCTCGATGTGTTGGAAGTGCCAAGTTCTATGCATGGGTGATTTTGTAAACTAGAACAGAATCTAATTTGACAGCTAAAATATGGATAAGTAAAGGATAATTTAAAGGTCTCAGTGAAAGGCTCAATATAACATTTTAAAATATTGCACTGGAAACTGGCAATAAAAGTATGGCAAGAATTGTCTGTCGGTCAACCAGAATTGTGTTAGTTAGGAAAATCCTAGTTTAACAAATTGTTAAAAATATTTTTAGCTGTTTCACTGAAAGAATGAAGTTATGTTTCCTAAAAGATACCCATACTGTGAGAAATCCAAAGTAGATATAGAGGCACTCACGGGTCGGGATTTGTATGGATATTATTGTGGATGTGGAACCAGGTATTAGCTTACAAAAAGAGTGCTGTGGCTACCTCTATGACTGCATACTGAGAGAAATATAGAACTTGATATCACTGGTGATCTATGGTTTCAGTATTTGTAAAAATTATGCAGCTTAAGATAGTCTGCGTGAAGTCAAAACTCCATATTTACATATTTGTCAGTGACCTAAAAACTACTGAAACCATTAGATTACTCTGACAACTAGGCAAGTAGTATTTTCAGAAGAAAAGGTCAGCAATTGAGATGAATTTCAGGTTTGCAGTGAATGCCCAGGATTCACAATTTTGCTAATTTTAAACCTTTGGGCACAAGTTTCTTAGGTTCACTGCCAAAAATAAGGAATAACTAACAAGGCAATCCATAGCTTTGGATGCCAGTCAGTTAAGTCACAGGAGCCAATAATCTGAATTAATGGGGTAGCGCAGGTACTTTTCTATAAAAGGGTGGGCTCACAGAAGTCGTATTGTCAGTTTTCATTTTGCCATTGATACATGTTCCCCCGTAGCAGTGCCCAGCTTCCTATGGCTTTTGTTTGACAATAACAATTGCTTATAAGCCCTGCAAATGTCCAGAACTGAATGACAAGATTAGCCACCCGTAGAATTCACTTGGTAGTCTGCCACCAAGTTTGCAAACTTTGAACCTCAAGCAAGAATTGTGAAACCAAACTCAGGCAAATTTTCTCCTGCTTAGTCATCAATAACAACCTTACTACAGGTATGGGGTATATGGTTTAGATGCTGTTTTTTATTCACTTTAAAGAGCTGAATGTGCATTCCATTAGTTTAGGTGAAAAATGGAAAAACTTGCTCAAGAAGTACAAAAAGTGAGCACACATATGGTAGTGATAGTTCATTTTAACTATTCAGAGACTTGATACTTTTCTGAATAGCAAAGTAGAGAGATCTCCAACTCTGTACCCTTTACTTGCTACATGACTGGTTCTGGCCCTATTATCTTTTATGTCTCCCGAGACTTGCTACTTAGAGGGAATGTGAACAGCGTGACAAGAATCACACTGTGGCCAACAACAGGATTGTGGGATAGAAAGCTCCCTGTGGATTACTTTAGGCAAAGATTTTGCGAGGTTCACTTTAGTTTGGAGAATCCCCACTGGAAATCCAACGTAATGGGAAAACACAAAGAAATAGTACTAAGCTTTCCAACTAATGAAAAGCATATTACTTATTTATGATTTAAACACAATGGCTGTATTTTAATACATAAACTACAGTAGCACTCAGTATATAAACTCTCTTAAATATATCTTTTCTTTTTTCCATTTCCTTTTTCCTCTTCTCTTTTATCCTCTTTACTGTCTCGTATCTGCTTTTTTCACGTATCTAACTCTCCAATTCTCTCTTCTTTACACATATTTATACATATTTTTTTGATTATACTTCTGTTCAATTTATAAAACAAACAATACTTCAACCACATAGGCAGCTTCATGGGTTTTTTTATTCTTGAACTGCAGTTCAATTTGTGCAGTATTTATAATTAGGAAATAGTGTAAAAAGTATTTGTAAGTGTAACTGCAAACCAATTTAACATAAATGAATGCTTACAAGAGAACTATGGGGTAAGTGTTTTCCCCATAGTTCTCTTAAGGGTCATGGGAGGACATATACTAGCATCCTCCCATGACCCAAATCTCAGTATATAGCTCGCTATAGATCATCATATACTGAGAGCTCCGCAGCCTGGACGGATCCCGACAATGCTGTTGAGATACACCCAGCTGCGTGAGTGACAGCTGGCCCTGCGTATATATAGGCAGAGCCAGCTGTACCTGCCCCCTCCCTATCCATTCCTCCAGTCAGCGCTGAAATATCGGAGCGGGGAGGGGGGTGGAATTCCTGCATGGAGCCATGACTGACAGTCACCACTCTTTGCAGGGATATGATCGAGAAGTGAGCGAGCAATGGTACGTGTTCACTCACTTCCCGATCTATTGAGCCAACGTGTGACAGTTTCATTGTCACACGTCGGCTCGAACTATGAGGATGAGTGATTTTCATTCACCTCATAGTTCTCCTTTAAACATAATCTGAGACCACCCTGTAGATGATCCAGTATCAGATGGTTCCAGGGCTAACCCAGGTGAATTATGTCACTCCACCATCCCCACCGCCACAGTAGAGTTTTCAGGCATGGCAAGGTTTGAGCACTGTCACATGGGGAGATCACATGCTCTCCAATACCTAAAAGTACAGGAGCAAGGGCTTCAATGGAGTGGAAAAGCAGCTTGGGAATTCATATAGCTTGCTGATAATGGTGGGCTATCAGCAAACACTGTCACTTTATTTAAATGGGCAGATTGCAGTGTCTATTTAAAGACTTAGAGGGTTATTAACATAGCTGCAGAAGGCTGGCTTTGGCTGCACTTCAGTCAGCCGAACATGTTCAGGACTTCCTGAAGGACTTCCACTCAGCCAATACAACATCTGGATCAGCTGAGCCAAAACTCCGGCAGCTTACTCCCTGCCATTCGCCCCTTTTCGCATAGGGGCCGAACGGCAGTGAGTGAATAGCTGAATGCTGCCGAGCAGCATTCGGCTCAGCTATTCTGCTTGGTACCCCTGTGGTACCGAGCAGAATAGGAAATCAATATAAAATTTGAAAACAAAATGTTTAAAAATAAAAAAAAAAAGATTTAAAAAAAACCCAAAAAACAATTGGGTCACTCTTAGGGACGGGAGTGGGCGGGGTGTGTCACGCGGTGCGGGTGAGGCGGAGATCACATGAACGGTGACGCGAAGGTTGTGCGGGTCATGTGACCGGCAGTTGCACGGAGATGGCGGATCGGGGGAACCCATTTGGTGAGATGGACAATCCGTTTCAGGACCCGGCTGTGGTAGAACATCGCCCCGGTAACCAGTTTGCCACCCTTGACGTCTACAACCCGTTCGATAACCAGGGGATCCCACCCCCGTACCATGAACCGTCCGCATTTCAGGCTCCGGCTACTCTCCCTACAGCCACGGCACAGCCAGCCGCCCCCGCGGTGAGGAAGATCAGCCCGACCGAACCCAAAAACTATGGATCATATGGAACCCAGGAAACCGCAGCTGCAGCCACAGCGGATCTTCTGAAGCATCAGGAGGAGCTGAATCGGAAAGCGGAAGAGCTGGACCGGCGGGAGCGAGAATTACAGAATGCTGCTCTGGGGGGATCTGCAGGAAGGCAGAATAACTGGCCTCCGTTGCCATCCTTCTGCCCCGTCCAGCCTTGTTTCTACCAGGACATCAGTGTGGACATCTCACAGGACTTCCAGAAGACCGTGAAGATCATGTACTACGTGTGGCTGGTCAGTGCGGGCACATTACTGCTGAACTTCCTGGGGTGTCTGGCCTGGTTCATCTCGGACGGTAGTCAGGGCACCGGATTCGGCATATCCATCCTCTGGATTATCCTCTTCACGCCGTGCTCCTTCGTGTGCTGGTACAGACCTTTGTACAAGGTGTTCAAGACTGACAGCTCTTTCAATTTCTTCGTCTTCTTTTTCATCTTCTTTGTCCAGGATATTCTCTATGTCCTGGATGCCATCGGCATCCCCGGATGGGGGATCAGCGGCTGGATCGCTGCCTTTACCGCCTTGAAGAACAATGTTGCCGTTGGGGTGTTAATGATCATAGTTGCGGTTTTACTTACTGGGACGGCCACCCTGGGGATCATCATGCTGAAGAGGGTCCACTCGATTTACCGCCGAACCGGCGCCAGTTTCCAGAAGGCTCAGCAGGAGTTTGCCGCCGGTGTCTTCTCTAATGAAACCGTGCGCAACGCAACCACCCAAGCAGCAGCGGGAGCCGCTCAAAATGCCTTCAAGCCCCAATAGAGGAATCGGTCGTAGCACCATCTTGCTGCTGCACACCGCTCTGCCGGGACCGGTCCTGTGTGATGTTAATACAGACCTGTGTGTCTGTATTAACATCACGCCCTGTGAAGTGTGCGTGTACGCGGCGCTGTCTGGGGGCGGAGCACGGCGGTGACACGTTACTGGCCTGCACCAGGCTGTACTGTGATGGTGTCACTCCGCCTCCTCGCTATATTCACGGATCCCCCATACTCAGGATTTCTCTGTCCTGTCTGTGCCCGTCTCTGCCTACGGAGGGGGCTGTATCTCCTGCTGTAGATGTGATGCCGGGGGGTGTGCATGCCTCATGTTTACATGTATGTTGTGTTAACCTGGTTAAAGCATGTTCTCTGTCTCGGACTATTCCCGCCCCTTCACGGGGTCTGAGGATCAGCTGATGCCAAAAACAATTGGGTGGCGCTAGCAGTGACAGCTAGCTCCGCCCCACTGTTCCCTATTGGCCGGTACCTGCTAGAGTCTTCTAGCAGGCCCCAGCCAATGAATAACAACTGGGCAGAGGCGGCCGTGACGTCACGACCGTCTCCGCCCAGTTGTCATTATTTAATGACAGACCTGGGGACGCTGATCTGTAAATGGAACTGCTGTCATTTGCAAAGGGTTCGTCCAGACCGTTTGCCCCGCTTCCGCTGTCACTATGTCTTCAGCTCAGCTGAGCCAATCGGCCACCTTCGACTGAACGGAAGGGATCCCGCAACTGAAGCTAGCCGTAGGATCAGCCAAAGCTACGACTAGCTTTGTTAATAACCCCCTTAATTTCTGGAAAGAAAAAATGCAAAAGCTGCTGTAGTTGTAACATTGTAGCACTTTGACATTTACCTATAAAAGCCTGTGGATATGGCTGAATCCTGGGCTGTTCTGAAAGGCAAAGCTCTTGCCCTTCAGGCTAGTGTTGCAGCTGACCACTATACCTAAGCAAATCTACTTAAAACACTGTTTCTTAAACTGTTTTCATAACCTTTAAACTTCAGACTTTAGAACTGTACATGAATCCCCCTCCCCATCAAGAAGGTACCTTAACGTAGGCAGCTCGTTGCACCACTGATATCCGCGTTCCTTCTCTGACACACTCCTGCACATATGTGTTCTTTGTGCTCCTGTGTTCTTGTTCATTCAATATCTATGCAAATGTAAGATGTCAGAATGGCACAAGCAATGAGTAGAACTACAAAACCAGAGGGCATGGTCATTATGAGAGATGGGCCCAGCATTTGTATGTGGGCGTCACTGCAATCATAGCTGCATGTTAATGCTGGAGAAATGCAGAGAGGGCCTTCAGACAATCTTGTTCAAAGCAGCACTTTTGTAAATTCACTTTAGTTAATAAGTTCACTTTATTGCTAAATACAGTTCCACCTATTGCTAACCTTCATGTGTGACTGTAAGAAGAATGCAGCATTACACAGGCCCATAGCACTAATAAGGTGTTGAATATACTAAGCCTTTGCCTTCATTATTATTCCTTGTGTTCCTCACAGTCACATCAGTTCCTCAGTGTGTCTAATGTGGCAATTTGTCATTATAAAACAAAATAATTACTCTGCTAACTTCCACTGCAAGATGTTTACTGCTGAAGGTGCTCTGTGTATGCAGATTACCATTGTACTTGAACTGTTTAATAGACCTTTTATATTGGTGATCCAGAATTAAATATGTGCTTTGCCACAATGCATTCCTTTCCAACCTAGAGACTAGTTCATTATATTTTGATCTTATTCTTGTATTGTTAAAATATCCGTGGAGAAAGCTTTGTATCTGAAATGAACAAAACCGAGTTGACATAATCAGTTAGAATTTGGGAGATGGTCAGACACTGAATTAGTTTACAAACTGTAATATACGAAAATTATTTCCAAAGGGGCAGAAATTAGCAAATCAGATTGGACAGCTGGTTATTTAGCCTGTATTGCCTGAATCCCTAAGACTATTAATCTGAATAGAGCCAGTTATAATATATTATCATATTAAAAATAAGAAATGCAAAAGCAGACAGCATGCCAAAATGATCAGTAGATCTGTACTTGTGGTACTGACATCTAACATTCAGGAAACACAGTAGTTCTTGACTTCAATATGAGGGCATATTATTCTTACTTTTAATTTTAACTACAAGAAAATAATTTCTTCACAAAAGCTACAATGTTAATGCTCAAGCAGCATGATAAGGGGCTATCATCTACCTGGGAAATATGACATATGGCTAAAGACAATACTTCTATTACATGCTTAAGTCGCCCAATAAATAACAGTCAGACTCCATGTGACTTAGTCCATATGATTAGTCCCATCAAAAGTCTTCTCAGTGGACTCTCAACATCATTGGTCAACTCAGCTTCCTGAAGTCACAATAATGGAGTTTTACCTAATAACCATGTCAAACATGGTTCGATTACTGACTTCTTGTCTTGACTGTTCTTTTTACTGGTGGCCCCAGCCCTAGGTTCTTCCAGTAAATGTTTGAACCATCCACAGCCTAAGCATGTATAGCCTAGCCTGGAGTCACTAAAACCTCCGTTATTGCCATGGCAATGGATAATTCTTTCCTGATTTCTGCCATGAAATACCCAGGCAGTAACACATGACAGCCATCATGAGGAATGTCAACTTCCTGTGGTCCTTGCCATGCCATCCCACTGGGGAGAAACCAAAAGCTGCTATGCTTACATAACTTCAATTACATAATAACAATGCGTGTGCAATTTACAGATACAGAGATACATACATTTATTGTGACATGCAACTTTTACTGTAAAAGATTCACCCTTCCTGTCTCCTAAACCTCACTATTGGTCCGTTAATGGTATGGGCATAATTGAGCAGTAGAAATACTTCTTCTGTCTATTCAGCTGTCTACATATCTGAGCCAAATGATCATTTGACATGTGAGTTTGAAGGTAAACAGTGCTTGGTTTTGTTTTTCTTTTATCCTCAATTTATATGGCCAGGTTTGTGACAAATTTGCCTTATATAAGTCAGAGCAGCTTAGCAAAAGGAGAAGAAAAGAAAGCAACTGCAGCCAGACCCATGACCTTGAATTTGCTGGCTAAAAGCTAAGACATTGTTTAAATATATTCTTGCCAGTAGTTGGCATTGCTGGCCATGTGGATGCTATCCCCACAGTTCTAAAAATAAAGTAAAGCACATATCTTTCAAAATTTTGCTTGAAGTGACAAAATACATATATCTTCCAGGACTGGTCATGCAGTGAGCTTCAGTATCTCAATCAATCAGACACTCAATCTTCTCTGCCTTCTAAAATATATATATTTGCTGTCATCTTTGCGACCAGCCGGCAATATGAAGAAATATCAGTGTGGCAGTGTCAGTAAAGAACAACATTCCAGTGGCACTTCCACGCACAATAAATTTATCAGCAGATGGAAGTGCAGCAGTAATGTTAGCAAGAAAGTAATACTATTCTCAAACTCGCCTTAAAGACCAGGAAACTGACTCACCCCTGCTGAGCATGTGACATTGTCAACTGTATCACTGGACACTCTAAGCTATGGAACCTGTTAATGTTTCTACTTATCCCAATAAAGAGGATGGAAATTTAGATGGAAATGTTTGTTTTAAAAACTTTTGCATTGTATTAAAAATTTACTTGGACAATGCAAGGAATAGAACTGGATGGGATGTCTGTGGACTGTGGTATTTTTTCAGGTAAAAGTTTACAGAGGGAGTCAGAGAAACTGAGAGGCTTCTGTCTCAACTGGGCTCGGGTATCTGGCTCCTGGGAGACATCCGCTGGTAATCACTTCAATTACTCCAAAGAAAAAAAAACACATTGCCACCAGCAGGTATTCCGAATGTTCTACATGCTCCTGACAGCGTGTGATAATGTGAGTGTAAAAGAGAGAGATACCTGATGCTGATGCCCACAGAGGAATATTTCATGCAAAGCCAATGTGCCTATCATTTATCTGGGCCTAAACCAACATTTTACTATAGGTATACCTATCCAACCACAAAGACTGCAACCGATCAAGTTAAAGTGACACAAATCTTAGGAGTTAAAACTTAAAAATGCACTAAAGTACCCTAACTATTAACAAAAATGTATCTTATGTGTGTATCACTCAGCTGTAGATCCTCAAATCATCTCTGAATTGGTGCTGACACTGTCCTTCCTTCTGGAGGGTGGCTACTTTTGTTCACCATGGACTCTGTGTATGTTGTAAAGTAGCCCAGCTCCAAGCTCACTTCTGTGATGGACTATAACTTCAATACTAATTAAGTAACTAAATGAGAGATTGTAGTCCATCATGGGAGCAAGCTAGGAACGGTGGCTACTTTACAACATACACAGGGTCCATGGGGAACAAAAGGAACCACCTTCCAGAAGGAAGGACAGTGTCAGCACAAATTCAGAGATAATTTGAGCATCTACAGCTGAGCGATACACACATAAGCAACATAACTTAGTTAATAGTTAAGGTAGTTTGATGCATTTTTAAGATTTAACTAAGTTTTCTGTCACTTTAAGGGATATCTGTGCCCTGCATATTAAATCAATACTACTACTACTACTACTACTACTACTGATTATAAAAATAGCAAAATCTATCAATAGGATTTTTCTTTGAACAACAGACAAAAGAAAATCATCTTACTATTTTTTCCCCTACCCATGCCTTTACCAGGTTCAGACAGTTTTGGGTCATCGTACATTTCTAGAATATAGAATCCTATATCAAGAACATTATACTTTATAATATACCAGTCTCGTCAGGCATGCTGCATCTGAATTATGCATTGTGACAGTGTATGCATATTTTTTTAATTATCATTTTACAGCACAGGCACAGAGGGAAAAAAAAGAATGTTCTTTGAAAAATAATAATAATAAAAAAAAACTTTTAAGCCCTTAAGCATTCCATGCTTTTTGAATGATGAGTTAGAATTCCATACAACCCTTCATTTGCATAAATTGCTCTATGCTTCATTTTAATTTTAAATTAAAAACAGATAACCATCAGGTCCAATATCCTTGTTCTTTTGTCCTTTGTTTACCCCA